TGATAATTTTAATTGGATTGTTTAGCTATAAAAGGAAAACACAAAATCAAATGAGTAATAATATTGTTCATTAATGCTGAAAAATATTACAAAATATTAAAAGTAAATGCCCCTAAAATGGACTTGAAGGTAATCAAATATATTTAAAGTCTAAATAATACAATAAAAGAGGTTTAATTTAACTGAAAAATACAGTGATTGCACTATTCTTTTTGTCTGTCAAATTTATCAGAATGACTTTCACTATCTCTGTCACTAAATATCACATAGCAACTTCTTCACTCTGAAACATTCACATCAGTGTCACCTTAATCTAAACAAATACCCTCTATTTGATGAATTATAAGTGAGTCCGACATAATCACTGCTGACTTTTTCCCATTTTCCACACAGCATTTAGAGTGAACTGCTTTGAAAGTTTGGTGAATTTAATAAAAAAGACATCTTGTCCTGGGCTTCTGATTTTGGGGTACTTCTTATCATTGTTTCAATTATTAATGATTGATCAGTTCAGCTTTTCTATTTCTGCTGGACTCAGTCTTGGGATATTTCTAAGAAATTTTCTATTTCTTTAGGATTATTTAATTTGATACTACATAGGTATTCATAATACACTCTTATTTCTGCAATAACTTGTAACCTCTTTTGCTTCTGATTTGAATTTTTCTCTCTTCTTTATGTGAGTCTGGATAAAGATTTGTCCATTTTGTTTATCTTTTCAAAAAACCACTTATTGTTTTCATTAATCTTCTGAATTGATTCTTTGGTATCTATTTCAAAACAGTCTATTTCTACTATAATTTTTTTTTAAGATTTATTTATTTATTTATGCATGCATGCATGCAAGCACTGGGTACAGTCAGAAGCGCGGGAGGGTGAGACAATTCACCAGAACCAGAGCGGGGAGCAGAACAGGCAGAAGGACTGAAGTACACTGCTGAGGGGAGCAGTGGGCAGCAGCAGAGGTCTGCACGCCATTTGGGACCCTCGCCCGACGGCCGGGGATCGAACTGGCGCTACTGAGGCTGCGGGCAGCTTCGCAACCCATCTTTCAACCACTGTGCCACCGGGGAGGCCCTACTATAATTTTTTTTAAAGATTTTTTTTATTTATCCATACAAGAACTGGGGTACAGACCAGAGGCGTGGCAGGGTGAGAGGATTCACCAGAGACAGAGTGGGGAACACAACAGGCAGATTGACTGAAATACACTGCTGAGGGGAGCAGCAGGTGAGTCAGGAGAGGTCTGCTGTGCCATGTGGGTTGCTCCCTGGCTGGCTGGGGATAGAAGTCGTGCTGCAGTGGCTTTCAATAGCTTAATAGATTGCGTCTTAACCCCTTGTGCCAACAGGGAGGCCCTATTTCTACTATAATGTTTAATATTTCTTCATTTATTATGTTTTGATCTTTTTTTTCACTTTTCCCAGTTAATTTAGGTATAAACTTATTTTTTTTTCATTTGTGATTTTCCTCAGGTAGAACTATCTTACTATAAATTTTCCTTCTTGTATGAAAGACTGCTACATTCTATAGGTTCTGTAATATCATGTCATCAATTTCATTTGTCTCCAGCTATATTTTTTATTGTTCCTTTTGATTTCCTTATTGTTCCATTAGTTCTTCAGTAGTGTATTATTAAATTTCCACATATTTGTGGTACCCCCATCTTTTTTCAGTTTTCTTGATTCATAGCATGATCTGAAAAGATGCTTGATGTCATTTCTGTTTTCAAATGAGTATTTCAGAATGTTCAATATACACTTGAGAAGAATGTGTATTATTTTATTTTGCAGTGCAAAGCTCTGCAATATGTTATGTCCACTTGATCTAATTTGTCACAAAAAAAAACTTTGTTTCCTTGTTAATGTTTTCTGTTTGTACTTATTCTATTACTATTTATCACCTTGCTCAATTTTGTCTTTTTTTTTTTTTTCACGTCGAAGAATTCCTTTGAACCTTCTTAGTAGGGCAAGTTTGATGGTAGTAAACTCCATTAGCTTTTACGTGTTTACAACATGATTCCTTTCTATGCCACATTTGAATAAAATTTAACAGTAAAGAATATAATTGGCTGGCAATTTTGTCTTTAAGGATTGTAAATATGCCATTCCACTCTAGCCTAGACATCTACCTACTGATAAATATGATGGACTGATCAAAGTGCCTTTATATGTGCACAATTTTTTTTTACTAGTAGCCATCAATATTTTTATATTACTAACTTTTGATAATTTAAAAAGAAATTATTCTTTCAAGATCACTTTTCATTTATAAATTCAAGCATTCTTTCTCTTTCCCGGAGGCCTGTGTTCTTCTCAGAATGAGGTTCCCAATGACTCATTTTGCAACAGGTAGCTGAAGCCGAAAGAATGTTATAGGTGGTGCCCCCTGGACGGGGGTGCTGCTGAGGATAGATAGCCCCAGGAAAAATGCTAAAAAGTATAGCATTTTGGGGTGGGGCAACTGATAAGTAATATAAGTGACTGCAGAAGGGAGTGGATTCATTCAGTCTTCATTCAGGATTCAAGTTTTTGGATCTTCAGCATTTGGGGTCAGCACATTCTGCCCCCACCTCACTGATCTTCCAGAAGGCAGTTGCAGGCCTCTGAAGGTAGAGGCCTTGGGCAGCCAACCTCACAGATGAAAAGCTTGGAAGCTTTGCAATTAGCTGAGTGACTGAAACTGTTCCTGGTTTGGCTGTGTTTGCAGCCTGACAGAGAAGGTGAAGACCTGAACCAGGACGCGTCACTTAGCTGCATGAGTTTTGCCATTTGTCAGTTTGTTCAGCCACTGAAGCTGTTTAGTGTCTCTCTTGTCTAGTGCTGCTCTAGGGCATCCCTGCAACTCAGAAGCGACTCTGTTGCATCTTCTGTTCTCTTCATGAGTGAGAACCTGGCCTGGAGTCTCCCTGCTGAGAATTCCAGGTGAACAGAGGTGGGAAGATGCCATATTGGAGAAGTGGCTTACTGTTCAGTAGGGGTCCTCAGTGGGGTGAGACACCATTTTAACTGCTTTTGTTTAGAACAGGAAAACACTGGACACTAATTTGGATGAGGTAAGGGCAAAATGGTCTCAGTAAATCTTTACTTTTCCCTGCTATGTTAAATAAATCCCTTTGCTATTGTTCCCAGGAGTGGTCTGCAATTATGTGAGTGGGTGAAGAACTCAGACTGTGATGAAAACATTATTTGGGGGGCCTCCCCGGTGGCGCAGCGGTTGAGGACTGGGTTGCGAAGCTGCCCGCAGCATCTGCAGCGCCGGTTCCATCCCCGGCTGCTCACTGGCCACCAGAGGAGGGTCCCACATGGTGCGCATACCTCTCCTGCCGCCCACTGTTACCCTCAGCAGTGTACTTTGGTCCTTCTGCCTGCTCTGCTCCCTGCTCTGGCTCTGGTGAATTGTCTCACCCTCCCGCGCTTCTGACTGTACCCAGTGCTTGTATAAATAAATAAATTAAATAAAAATAAATAAATAAATAAATATATAAATCTTTAAAAAAAAAACAAACATTATTTGGGAAGTGTCATTGCACAGTTTAGTGCTACTTGCTGCCCTGTATCAAGAGCTCCTCAGTTTTTCCTAAAAAGAGTCATGCAAATTCCACAATATAGAGACCTAAGGGTCATTGCACCTCAAATTTCTCTCCTCAAATGAAGTTTTCACCTCAAAAACTGGTTCCCATAGACTCATATCTCTAAGATTTTGCTCATGACAGACCTGTATTCTCAGACAATTGTACCTAAAGAGTCATTTGTCCTCAGATATTATTCCACACAGACCTGCTCTCCACAGACATGGTTTGCAAGAACTATTTCAATTCTCCTCAGATTTGACTCCACAGAGACCAGTCTCTAACACCAGTTCCCAAAGAGTCATTTCTCCTCAGATTAACACCTCAGACCAGTCTTCTCCTCAGACAACACTTCCCAAAGGGTCATTTCCCTTCAGATTTGCCTCCTAGTTGCCAAAGGATAATTTCTCCCAGATTTGTCTCCTCAGAGACCAGGCTTCTCCTCATACCTAATTCCCAAAGGGTCATTTCTTCTCAGATTTGTCTCATCAGAGACCAGGCTTCTCCTCAGACACTAGTTCACAAAGGGTCATTTATCCTCAGATTTGCATCCTCAGAGACCAGGTTTCTCCTCAGACACTAGTTACCAAGGGGTCTTTCCACCTCAGATTTGTGTCCTTAGGCACCAGGCTTCTCCTCAGACTAGTTACCAAAGGTTCATTTCCCCTCAGATTTGTATTCTCAGAGACCAGGCTTGTCCTCTGACACTAGTTCCCAATGGGTCATTTTTCCTCAGATTTGTGCCCTCAGAGACCAGGCTTCTCCTCAAACACTAGTTACCAAAAGATCCTTGCCCCTTACATTTGTCTCCTCAGAGACATGGCTTCTCCTTAGAAACTAATTCCCAAAGGATCATTTCTACTCAGATTTGTCTGCTCAGAGACCAGGTTCTCCTCAGACACTAGTTCCCAAAGGATTATTTCTCCTCAGATTTCTCTCCTCAGAGACCAACTTCTCCTCAGACACTAGTTTCCAAAGCCTCATTTCACCTCAGATTTGTCTCCTCAGATTCTAGTTTCCAAAAACTCTTTCTTCCAGAGATTTTTATCTTCATACAAACCGTAATTAACCTCACCAAATGTAACGGAATCTTAGTACTTCCTTCCAATTTTTCAGAATATTTCTTCCCTCTTTTCTATTGCATAAATTTCTCCATTTTTGTAAGAAAAACAGATCTCCCTTTTTTCCTTATATATTGGATTAAAATGTATGGCACATCATGAACTGGAAAAGCAATGTGTGAAGCATGGGTTTTTCCAATCTGGGATAAATTGAGTTTCAACTGTATATTTCCCTTGTTTTATTTCTTCAATATATTTTTACTCCGATTTTAGTTATAATGGAAATTTTCAAATACTGTTAAAGACAGTATTTTGCTTGAATTGAGTTAATTTGATAGAAATTTTCCTTTTGTCAAGGTGATACTTACTGTAATCCAACTGACCTGTGGTCCTAGGTCTGTAAAATACAGTGTAACAATTGAAGAGGAGGCAACACTTTGAATGGTTATGTAGTCCTTCAAATAAACTCCACCTTAAAACATAAGGAAATGTCATTTTAGTACAATTTGATTCAATTGTGTTAAATAAATTTTAATGTAAAATATGTCATGATTTTTATATAGAAATTATTATGTACAAAAAAATCTTTAATTTAATATATGTAATGATGGTCCTCCCTTGTTACACAGGGTTAAAGACACCATGCTATCAATCTATTCCCATGCTATCAATCTACCCCACATGGCACAGGAGACCTCTCCTGTCCCACCTGCTACTCCCATTAGCAATGTATTTCAGTGCATCTGCCTCTTCTGCTCCCTACTCTGTCTCCTGTGAAACCTCTCACCCCCAGCCCCTCTGGTCTGTACCCCAGTTCTTGTGTACATAAATAGATCTTAAATAATTAATAAATAATAATATAAAATGTAAACAAATACACTTTATATCTAGCCAACTTCCAAATACATGTGGTTTCCCAGTGCTATCAACCAAAGCACAAGCTTACACTTGCAACTATCCTATTGTGTTTTGATAAATGTAAAATTGGATAATAAAATCAACTATAATATAAGATATTTTTAACTATTTTGCAAACCATGTTTTTTATATGCTAAATTACTTAGTGGAATGTGGAAATGAATTTCAATGTTGTTCCTACTCCCTAGAGTAATGCCTGGCTTAACTTTTTAGAAGATCACCATAGATGTCATGTGAAAATGGGAAGAAAGAAAGCAATAATTACTTAGGAGGAACTTAAAATTTCTCAAATAGAGGATGTTTGTTTAGATTAAGGTGACAGTGATAGAAGTGTTAAAAAATCATGAATTCTAGATTTATTTTAAACACGATCAGGTTCCTACTTAAGAAAAGAATATTCAGTGAGATGAAGTCAGATCTTAATTTTGGGGCCTGATCATTTAGGTATATTACAGTCTCATTAACAGATGTGAAATAAACTGTGACAGGAACAGGAATTGAGGGGTTAAAATTGAAATTTCTTTTAGTGTATGTTAGCTGTATGATATCTATTAAACAGAGACCTTGGCCTCGGCCTTTCCTATCCTTCCATTCACTTTTCCTAAGGGAGAATATTATGTGGGGATAAGAGAATAAGCCTACCAGCACCCTGTGCCATCTTTTTCTATATAATGCTTCAAGCATGTGAGGTCCCTGAATTTTTTGCTCAAATTAACTAAAGCAATATCTTTCCATTAGGCATTTCTTCTCAAGAATGGAACAAATACTAGGATGTGTGCATAACTCTAATCTAGGACTCTGGGGAATATAAAAATAAATACATAAATAAATAAAATAATACTACAGTAAAAAAATAAATCTAGGACTTTGGCAAAGTTGTACAAAAAGTGTGGGTGGTTGGAGCCGGTGATGGGGAGAGAAAAGGGCTAGATACCCATCCTTTGCCTATCTATTGTAGAAATCCAGTAATTCTAAGAATTTTAAGTCTGTGCTTCCAGGGCATTGTAAACTTTATTAATCAATGTAGGAAGGAAGAACACATCTTAGTTAACACTTTTATTATAGATTTTTGAGCAATCTTTACTATTTTTTTATTCATACCATTGCCATATGACTTTTAGTTCCTCCCATTAAGAGTTGGTGTCCGTCTCTCAACTCCTTGAAATATGGGCTAGACTTGTGATTTTCTCTGGCTAACAGAATATGAGAGAAGTAATCACATGATGTTTATAAGTATGGACCTCAAGAATTAAGTACTTGTGTTCATTCATTTATTCCCCTAATTTAAAAAATACAAGAAATCTATGTAAATATTTAGAACTTGCTTTATTTTGGCGTTATCTTTTCCAATAATATTAATATTATAAATATGATTGATGAAATATCTAATTGTGTGCTAATAATTTTATGTTTTATAAATATAATCTTATCAGTTTTTATAAATTTCTATAAAAGAATAAGTTTTAAAATAATAAGAATTTAAATACTATTAAGGGGCCTCCCCGGTGACGCAGCGGTTGAGCACTGGGTTGTGAAGCTGCCCGCAGCCTCTGCAGCGCCGGTTCGATCCCCAGCCACCGGCAAGGGTCCCACAAGGTGCGCAGACCTCTCCTGCCGCCCACTGCTGCCATCAGCAGTGTATTTCGTCAGTCTGCCTGCTCTGTTCCCTGCTCTGGCTCTGGTGAATTCTCTCAACCTCCCGCGCTTCTGGCTGTACCCAGTGCTTGTATAAATAAATAAATAAATCTTTAAAAAATAAATAAATAAATACTATTAACACAAAAACACATAAAAATAATAAGTTTGGGTCTTTATTAGCTCCACTAAAAAAAGAAGACATTATAGATAGTTAAGTAGAAGATCAACTTTAAAATTCTGAGTTACTCCAAATAACATATTCTTTGTACCGTATCATACTTATCTCACTAAATTAGCTATATTTTTCCTTCAAAAATATCATTACATTTTTCTCTAAGGAAACTTAGCTATACTATACTCAGATTACTAGAAAGCTATTCTTTATTCATATCACAGCCTGATACAGTTAACCAGGTAAATATATGTGAGTGGAAAGTAAAAAGTTTTAGTCACCATCAAAGGCAGAACTAAGAAAAACTCTATAACAGCCTGTTATAGAGTCCTTCAGATAAAAATTGATGCCTGTGGCACTCTCTGAGTAGTCTTCATAAAAGAGTCAAGCTCAAAAAAGAATATAATTATGTAACTTTATGTTACTAATCATCCATGTATTCAAAGGTGTTTACGTGGTTGCCATATACTAAGCCCTGAGGAGACAAAAATAAGCAATAAAAGGATTCTTCTCTTTTAAAATCTGACCAGATGTGAATTTGTCTTGAATATTTTAATTGTAAGTATTTGAGACCATCAGCAAAGTATGACTTCTAAGAATGCCATAAATTTCTATGTTTTCAACCTAAAGGTCTAAGAGAAAAATGGAATGTATAAGTTAGCAATGAGAACAAACATAGTATTGGATATCCAAGTAAATTATCATTTGTCCTTAAAGAGAATGTGATATCTGAGAAAAGACAGCCTGAATATTAACAAAAGCACCAGGAATGATGCAGCATGTCATTGAAAGGAAAAATTTACTAACCAAAATTCTTTAATAGATGCCTTTTATAGATTTGTTATTATGGAATTTGACTAAGTATTCCTTCAAATTTACATATTTTACTTATCAAATTGAATAAATTATTCAAATTGAATAATTTATTCAAATTTCAGGTCAAGTTGATGTAATGTCAATAACAATTAGTAGGAATAATTTTTAGTGTATCTATATATTTTATGAATGATGAATTGGGTTTGAAATTTTGAGAAACTTGAGACTTAATAAAGGATATAATATCAATACTTCTTAAAATCCAGTCACTCCTGTTCCTTCTTGCCTCACTTATTCTGATTCAAATTAAAAAAAAAAAAAGAAGGAACTGAGAATTACCCTTGAGAATATAGTTGGAGGCAGCAATAATAAAGAATATAATAGTAAAACCTTAAAGAAAGCTTAAAGAAAAAGATGTTAGTTCAGATTCTGCCTTCAATATGCACTGATTGTGAATATGGAAAAAATACCACTTTCAGGACAAAATTACTTATCCATAAAGCTGGAACACTAGCTTGTTGGGGTGATTAATTGTAATAATATATTTACAGCAGTTACCACAGTACATATCATTTAGCAAATGATAAATACACTATTAATGACAGAGAAAGGATTCCAAATTAAATAGACAGATCACTGAAAATTGGTTCTTACCACATTCTAGCTGAAAGCCAATTCTAGAAGGGTACCACTTTGGACCTGTTTGATGAAAAGTAATATCATTTGTCAGCACAAGTATAAACTCATTTTAAAATCCAGCAGTTTCAATTGGATTTGAATCTTATAAAGTGATTCAATCTTATGAAGTGAATAAAATGGTTATCATATTTGAGAATGGATATAGTAGTTAGCTTTGGCAGAGTACTGATGAGCAGCAAAGAATAATGAGAGGAAGAGAGCATGATAGGAGCTTAAAGGGTGCTAATTATCTGCTTTTTCATTTGGGAAACTGGTTAGGTAGGTAGAAATGTGCAAAGTAGGTGGCCTCTGAAGCTTAAACATCTTCATTTAAAATTGGAAAACTGGGCCTCCCCGGTGGCCGCAGCGGTTGAGCGCTGGGTTGCGAAGCTGCCCTCAGCCTCTGCAGCTGCTCCCCGGCCACCGGAGGAGGGTCCCACATGGTGCGCAGACCTCTCCTGCCGCCCGCTGCTCCCCTCAGCAGTGTGCTTCGGTCCTTCTGCCTGCTCTGCTCCCCGCTCTGGCTCTGGTGAATTCTCTCTCCCTCCCGTGCTTCTGACTGTACCCAGTGTTTGTATAAATAAATAAATCTTTAAAACTACATAAATAAAATTGGAAAACTTACCTCATTTAAAATTTTTTTAATATTTACAACTGAAAGTGGGTTATTTTCTCTATAAGGAGTAAGGCACTCTATCAGAATAATCTGTATAATTTACTCAACGTCATTGGTGCACTGATCATGGTAAAACATTACTTTTGATTGTTACCCTAATATTACCAAAGGAATAATAAAAATTCTAAAGAGTTCCATTTGGATGGGAAATTCAAAATGTCTTTACTATCCAATGCCATAATAAAAATCTTGGTCACAATCACCAAAATAAAATTATTTTTCCTTAAATTGGATTCTGTTATTATTTTAGTCTATTGAAAACTAATTTCATAACTTTGAAATTCAATTTTAAACAAATTAACTTGACATCTAAGAAATTAGATGATCATTTTCAAAGGAGTTTTCAAAATGATCATTTTCAAAGATCATTTTCAAATCTTTCATTTTAAAGATTTGAAATCTTTAAATACTTTAAATCTTTAAATACTTTAAATCTTTAAATACTTTAAAGATTTCAGAAAAATCTTTAAAGCATATGTGAGAGTGATGAAAACATGATATAACTATACCATTTCAATTAATTCTTAATGAATTTACTACAAAAAGACAAATTATCCATGCAAATTCTCATGGATAAATACCTTATAAATCAAAAGTTTTAATCACAGGTTAAAAGTTATTTATGATGATATCTAATAGTTTAGAAATGGCAAGACAAATTAGGAAGGCACATTTAGTTCTGGCATTGATTTTTGAAATTAGAAAATATGTAGGTAAAACTACTTTTAATTTTTTATTTATATTTACTAATGCAATTGTTACTATTTATTTAACCATTTATTATTCTGGAGTGTATGCTAATATTATTTGTTAAAAAATATTTTTATATAGCTACCCTTTTGCTTATAGTGAAAATCTCTACCTAAGAAGATATGATGTACCTTAAGATTGATAGATATGTAAATATTGTAAATTGTTGTGTTTTCCTCTTTCCTTCTGATTCTCAAATCAATAATCACTCAGGGTCAAACATTTGGGAAAATGGGGTAAAGGGTGGAATGGAAATAATCAGTTAGTATGCAATCAATAAATATATCATTTCTGAAAAAAAAAAAAAGAAGATATGGTGCAAATGAATGTAATATAGACCTACACAGTTTTGTTTCCAACTCTGGATATTGGATAAAATATAACTTTATGAATCCATTTATATTTGACAAATGTCACTGAGCATCTATGATGTGTGTGCATAAACTGTCAAGTTCTGTCTATTTAATAATATCTGCATAAGACATCACTTTCAAGAACACTTTATGATGCTACCAGTGGTAAATATGACCAAGTAAAACTAACTCTCATTCTAAAGTAATCTGTCTATGAATTAGATGAGCAGATACTGTCAAAATCCATAATGATGGATCAGGGAAGTGAGAAGCTCTAAACATTGTCAATGAAATCCATGTTCTCCCTATTTTCTCAACTTGGATAAACTGTAAATATTCTTATAAAATAGATTTGGAATTTATAGTTTGTGACTTTTACACACTCTGTACTAGTGAAAAAAATTGTATAAACCACAAATGTATAAACCATTAGATTCATCTCAGTTATTTTTTCATAAAACAAAATATATGTTTCCTTAAATGGTCTATGCTTGTTGGAATGAAGTGGGTTAAACTAGAAAAATATCAAAATGAAATGAGTTTATAAAGAACCAAGCATATATGTTGCATGAAGATTTTTAGCATGTATCTAAGTTATTTATAATACTGAGTACATTGAAGTTGGTCAACTAGACTCTAACCAAGTAGTAGATACAATGCATCCAATGCATCTGCCTGTCTCTTAAATTATCTAAGATGTTGAACCTGATTTGTGTAACTCCATATCCTAAAAATACCTTAGAGTTTTCCTTGATGATTAGAAGTGTTCATGTTACTGTATATTAACATTCTAATAAGTAATGGCTTCATATAAGTGAAATATATTGCATCCAGTGATCATACTAATAGATTTTTACATAGCAACAATAAAATGTATCTGCCAAATAACTTCCAAATGGAGTATTTTGTATAGGAAATGCAAAATAAGTATATTATTAGTAATTCTGACAAATCTTAAACTCAATAAGTTGAATAGCTGAAGGATCAACTTTGAAAAAATAAGTTGATCATAAAAATGAGATTAATTAAAAATATTGTACAAAGAAATTGGCATTTATGTGGATAATTTTATATAAAATAGCAGAAAATTAATATATTTTACATTATAATATAATATATACAATATTTAGCAATAACAAAATAATAAAGATAGCTAAAAATTTACTTGCATATTCAAAAACTAAATACTGGACAAAAACTACTTACAAAATAAAAAATATTCTTTGGCTATAAAGAATTCTAAATGTCTTGGCTTATTTGAGAAAAATATAAAAATATTGGTTAATCTCATATTTTTATTAAAAGATTTGAGTTTTTAAAATTTGGAACAGTTTTATGAGTAAAACTAATACTACTCTAAAGCCAAACTTTTATTAACAACTTCTACCTATTCTCCTTGTTATTGCACCCAAAGCTGTAATCAACGTTTTCTTTCTATGGCAAAGCAAAAGACATGATCCAGTGGGAGTTCTCATGTATGCAAAGCATAATTCTGGGACAGGAAGTGACAACCAGAGACAGGAACAAAAAAGATGAAGGCATGATAGAAGGTTCTATGCACATTGAATTATTCTTTGTATATATTGCTGTATTGATAAATAGTAGTATATTCTTTGTAAGGGGGAGAGAGATCTATAGGCCTCAATAAAAAGGTAGGTGCATATATTTGGCTTCATTTTTTTTTTCACAAGAAGTGAGCATTAAGTATTATTACAGAAAATTCTTCCTTGATGTACTAAAATATCAGCTGCTGATTTAATATTGTTGAATCAGTTGTTTCATATGTTAGAAATGATTCATTCAGTAAAGTACTTTACTAGAACTGAATGAATCATTTTATTCCCTGTAGACCATTTCTTGGCAATCTTATAAATGCCACCTACATATATCACCATCATTATTTAGTGATAAAGCTAAAATGTAATCAAAGAAGTAAGTAGGATATGTAATGTGGGAAAGTGTTTACATATCTGGAAAATAAGAGAATCATTTCCTCTCTCATTCCCAACAACAACAAAATGTTTTAACACTCAGGGCTTCCCTGGTGGCACAGAGGGTTGTGCACAGCGCTGTGAAGCTGTCTGCGGCCTCTGCAGTGTGAGTTCGATCCCCACCTGTCTGGGAAAAATCCACATGGTGCATCAAACCTCTCCTGTCTTGCCCGCTGCTCCCCTCAGCAGTGTATTTCAGTCAGTCTGCCTGTTCTGTTTCCCATTCTGTCTCCGGTGAATCCTTTCACCCTCCCACCCATCTGGCCTGTACCCCAGTTCTTGTATAAATAAATTAATCTCAAAAAAAATTGAAAATTTTAACATTCAAATCAGAACCAACTAATGCGTGTAACTTTGCTAACTTGCACAGTTGAAAAGAAAATGCATTTGCTAGAGTTTATTATTAAGTATTGCTCAAGTAAGAAAGACAGTGTTGCAACATTGTACAATAAGCAGTGGCAACGTAAGTAGTCTGTGGGAAAACAGACATGGCACTAGAAATCACAAAAATTAAAGCTGCACAAACAGGTTTTAACATTACAAAACAAAAGGAGTATGAAAGCAAAAAGCACAAAATAACAAGTCAAGTTCCCGATAAAAATAAGTCACAAGACAAGGATAATGTGAGATAGAAAAATAAGAATATAGGAAGATAGATAAGAGTCCAGCTAAATGATATCTTTATCTTCACTGATAAAAGTTTTTAAATAGTTTTTCCATTCATCTAATTATCCATCATGCTTTTAAGGAGCTGCTAGAGTTGATCTTCATGCCTCTATTCCCATTCACATTAGACAACATAATATGTCCCATGTCAGAGAAACCATCATCCCAATGAAAATTTTCTCAATGTTGTTATGTGCACCATTCATCAGACCCTTTGCCCCTTCCCGCTGACTTCTCAGACTTCCTTTTATAATTTAGGGCATCCATAGTTTGTCATAAGCAAAAACTTCTAAATCATCACTTCTGCTTTCCCCAAAGTTTTCAATCTTGTCTTTGTGTCTACTTCAACTAGTGTTTATTCCTCACATCAAACCCACTATATTGGCTGAAGGTGTGTTCGAAATGTTTTTTGATACTACATCCAAAATATTTATTCCCAGTTTTTCTCACAGAAAGCATATCATCAAACTTCATTATCTAATATTAATTTTTAATTGTTGTTATGTGTCATGAGCTGGCCATTCCACCTAAAAACACTTGATTTTTAGTTCAGAACATCTTTCCCACCACAACTCAGTTATCATT